TAATCATTTAACAGACTGAAAAATACAAGACTTCTGTTCACAACACTACAAAATGTGTTTCTGGAAAAGCAATTTAGGCTTTTTATTCATGAACTTCATTCAAATGAGCAGCTCTTATTCTGTCCATATGACCCTCTGTTTCTGGTTAGAGGAGATATTCTTTCTGTCATTTGAAATCAGTCATGAACATCCTTTAGAGTTTTGCATTGACTCTTTGATCAAACCCATCAACATAACATAACATTGAACATTATATTAAAGCATCTGCTATTGGGGAACTAGGCATGTCCTCCTAACTCACTGTCTTAGAATTGGTTATAGATGCTGCTGTATAAACTACCGTTAATCTACCTGCTATGAACCATCCACATAGATCATAAAATAATTATTTGTCCTATGTGAGTTGGGTCACGGCCAGGGTCATCATTGTCCAGCGCCCCTGGAGAAATTAGGATTAAGTGCCTTGCTCGATAGATTTTTCACGTTATCGACTCGGGGGTTCGAACTACCTTTCGGTTCCTGACCCAACGCGCTAAACGCTAGGCTACTTTCCGCTCTAGATCAGTGACACATGGTGAATCAGTGGAATGACAACATTCTACACTCAGATGTTGACAACAAATAATAGCTTTTATAAGGTAATATAGACTAACTATAATTTATTATGAACACAAGCATATTGATTTATACAATACAGCTGTGTACTGTTCTATTACGAAACATTAGTAATAATCTGTAGTATCAATTAAAAATTGGCTACTTACGCATTTTTTTATTGCAGGTCTACAACAAACATGCATCCTTCTAAAATCAGCTGCTTAAAAAGAATCACATTGTAACCAGGCCAATAACACATGTTAAAATAATACAAGTTAGTGACTTACTTGAAATGTCCTGCAGCAATGATATGTCTTGAATCTGTTTCACACTAACAGCAAGTCTATCATTATTATTGCCTTTACATTTGCATCAAATGTGATTTAATCCAAATAATCAACAAATCAATATCCACTAAATGTTGAACTGCACGCACTGTCGCTCAAGTATCGGTGGCTGAGTTACTGAAAACAATTGTACCCTCCAACACAAAGAACACTATAAATCGACAATATCAAACATGCGAGCGATCAAATCTGGCTATAGTATTTTGAATGACAGTCATCACATAACGCTCGTGCGAGACCACCACACCAGACAGAACGCGTGCTTAAAGACTAAATAAATAAAAGCCCTCTGCTTGCGGTAGGCTACAGTTAACTCATACCCTTTTCAATTTCAGTAGGCCTAATCTGTTTATTTATTTTTTTATCGCAATTTCCATTTACAATAATTTAGCTAGCAGACCTTGCCATACAGTGATCGACCGCAGGCAAACAAACAGCGGAGTGGGAAAGGCGGTCCATCCCAGCTCGGAACTTTTGCCCAATCACAGTGTAGCCTTAGTAGCAGCTACTCAACACATTTTAAGAATTAACTCTTTCCTATTAGGCTACGCTTAGGGCGGTTCTGCTGATAACATGGACTACATCATAATAATAAAATATATGCGTCATAATAAAAAATAAAAAATATAGGCTAACATTCATAATCACAAAATATAACGAAACATGAATTACAATGTAATAAATGCATTATAATGTAATTACAATGTAATGATAGAGTTGATATTCAATTGAACTTCTATAAATTTGATTTTGCCACTATGTAATCAGACACATTGATTAATGATTGAAATTGTATGGTTTAGATGTTAAAAACACACACTTGCCTAACATAGAAAATTGGTCAAAAACATTCATAAGAGAAAATAGTTATTTAAATAAACATTGTAATATGACAAAGGGTAATTTTATTAGACCCAGATTAAGCCCCGATTAAAACATGCTCGATGTAAAATCTCTATTGAGAATGTACTCCTGGACTAGGTTAAATCTGGGTCCAGGAAATCGGCCCTATGTGCTTCGTAATACATTTATCAAGTAACACAACCGATGCACTGAGAAGGAACATTAGGAGAGGAACCTGCATTAATAGTAACTCATTTAATTTGTCAAGCACTTCTCACACCCAAGGCGCTGGAGAAAATAAAACATGTAATACAAATAATAATAAAAACAATTCAGAACACAGAATATATTAAGCAGACAACAAGGCGCAGTGGTCTAAGGCGCCGCATCGCAGTGCTAACTGTGCCACTAGAGATCCTGGTTCGAATCCAGGCTCTGTCGCAGCCGGCCGCGACCGGGAGACTCATGGGCGGCGCACAATTGGCCCAGCGTCGTCCAGGGTAGGGGAGGGAATGGCCGGCAGGGATGTAGCTCAGTTGATAGAGCATGGCGTTTGCAACGCCAGGGTTGTGGGTTCGATTCCCACGGGGGGCCAGTATAAAAAAAATATATATGTATTCACTAACTGTAAGTCGCTCTGGATAAGAGCGTCTGCTAAATGACTTAAATGTATATACAGGTGTTGTCAGATCCAGTGGGCAGGAGAACTGAATTAACAGAGGTCTTCGAAAGCTTTTCTGAACAGCTAGGTCTTTAGCTGTTCCTTAAACGAGGCCAGTGACTCTGCAGCACTGACAGTGACTGGAAGTGTGTTCCACAGCTGAGGAGCTGCACAACTGAAAGCCCTGTCACCCATAGTTTGTAGTCTGCTGTGGGGATGCTGAAGGGAGATGGACCTGGAGGAGCGAAGGGTGCAGGATGGTAGGATGAGGTCAAACAGGTACTTGGGTCCAGAGTTTTGGATAGCTTGGTAGGTGTGAATCAGGATTTTAAAGTCAATGCATGAGCATATGGGGAGCCAGTGGAGGTTGAACAGCACTGGAGTGATGTGCTCACGGGGGAAGGTGTGGGTGAGGACAAGTGCAGCACAGTTCTGGACATATTGTAGCCTGTTTAGACACTTGGCAGATGCACCAACAAACAGAGCTATACAATAGTCCAGGCAGAACGAGACACAGGCGTGGATGAGTCGCTCAGCTGTAGGTTGTGACAACATAGCTCGTAACCTGGCAATGTTCCGTAGATGGAAAAATCCAAGTTTGGTCACACTTTTCATGTGGGCCTCAAACAAGAGCGGACTGTCAAATATCACACCCAGGTTGAGAACCTCACTGGACAGGAGGACCTTGTCCTTGACACCAATATATCAATTATCATTGATCCTACTTGAATGAAAGCACTTGTAGTCAAAACAATGTTTGCTTCTTTGCTCTCAAACTCTAAAGCACAGAAAACAACTGAAGGGGATTTTCACACAGACAAGTTCAATAGTTGCCCTCAAATAACAGTTGAATCCATTGACATAGAGCAGCTGTTATATTGTCAATATATATTATAATATACTGTATATCCCTCATGCTTAGAGTGCATTTGGAAAGTATTCAGACCCCTTGACTTTTTCCACATTTTGTTACGTTACAGCCTTAATCTAAAATGGATAAAATTGTCCCCCCCCAGGCTGTCATGTGTGGCTTTCGTCTGGCCACTCTACCATAAAGGCCTGATCGTTTGAGTGCTGCAGAGATGGTTGTCCTTCTGGAAGGTTCTTCCATCTCCACAGAGGAACTCTGGAGCTCTGTCAGAGTGACCATCAGGTTCTTGGTCACCTCCCTGACCAAGGCCCTTCTCCCCCAATTGCTCAGTTTGGCCGGGTGGCCAGCTCTGGGAAGAGTCTTGGTGGTTCCAAACTTCTTCCACTCAAGAATGATGGAGGCCACCGTGTTCTTTGCGACCTTCAATGCTGCAGACATTTTTTAGTACCCTTCCCCAGATCTGTGCCTCGACACAATCCTGTCTCGGAGCTCTACGGACAATTCCTTTGACCTTATGGCTTGGTTTTTGCTCTGACATGCACTGTCAACTGTGAGACCTTATATAGACAGGTGTGTGCCTTTCCAAATCATGTCCATTCAATTGAATTTACCACAGGTGGACTCCAATCAAGTTGTAGAAACATCTCAAGGCTGATCAGTGGAAACAGGATGCACCTGATCTCAATTTCTCATAGTAAAGGGTCTGAATACTTATGTAAATAAGGTATTTCTAGTCTCATAGCAAAGGGTCTGAATTATGAGGCATTGTGTGTAGATTGATGAGGAAATGTTTTATTTAATCAATTTCAGAATAAGGCTGTAACGTAACAAAATGTGGAAAAAGTCAAGGGGTCTGAATACTTTCCAAATGCACTGTGTATATACATATATATTTTTTAAATCATGTTCAATGACATTATGCTATTTCTATGGTTTAATTACATAAAGTGAAATGTCTTAATGACCTTGGTAGGATGCTTTTGTGTTTATCCTATGGATTCTTGGACAACAGAGCATGTGCAAAAAGATACTGACCCTTAGTGGAGATTTGAGGGAATGCATGCCACAAATGAGTCAGCCAACAGTAACCGGTAGTCCAAAATATTTAAAAAAAATATTCAAAAGTTACAAATTAAGTGTTAAGTCGATGATATATATCTCAACAATGTATTATCCTATCTTAGGGTCCCTTCTCACAGTCTCTGTCACAAAGACACCTGAAACAATACTTTGAATCAACATTTTTATTGAACCTTAAATTAACTGATCCTTTATTTATCTATCCACACATACATACACAACATTATTTACAACAATGGTGATGTCCAAATTCAAGCAACACCCACCATTCAGACATCCACCTACTAAGCAGCAATAAATCAGACATTTCTACTTGAGTTAAGAGTCTCCTCATTGTCATTAGTGGCAATATGTAACTTTTTGGGCAACCAGACCAAATTCACATAGAAATGTGGGTTATAGATCTATCATTCTACTTGAAAGTCTAAGAAGCAGTAGATCTGTTCTATATGCACTATTTCTATGCTTCCCGTTCTTAAGTATTTTGCTTTCAGTTTTGTACACCAGCTTAAAAAAGCTGAAACAATATTTTTGGTTATGGAAAATATATTTCACAGCGGTTTAGATGGTGCAATGATTCTCTACACTATACTAGCTTATTTTGTCACAAACTGAAATTAGGCAAACTATTAAGAGCTAGCAACCAGGAAATGTTGTCGCGATTTCTGCATAGTGCAACTTAAGTGCCATTCACATGTGATTGCCATCAACACAACATGTGACTTAAGATATTAAAAAATAAAAAGCGCAAGATAACAGTTGCTAAATGAAAATACAATTTAAAATGTGGCATTTAATTCAAACAGTATCTGATCAAAGGGAATATAGCTTCTGAGCTTAGTTATTTTCTTGGTTGTGGTCACTGGTAATGGAGATCCACAACGATCTGATTACTATGAAATGAATGACCAGCAGTAATAGGTGGAAGAACTGTCAAAAAATGTAGGTGAATGTGTGCTGGCATAAGAGTGAGTCATGTAGAAGAAACATCGGTCAGATGTGTATGTGAAAGAAAAGGGTATGCTTATGTCCAGTAGGGGGCAGTGATATAGTCAGGTATGATTAAAAGTGTTACAGGTTTGGAGAGGGTGAAACCAGTGGATGAATCTCATGGGTGTTTGGTGTCAGATGTATATGGGGTGGTATTGCTTGTGGGTGAGTTTCTTTCTGCAGGTTGGGCAAGTGTGGGATCTCGACAGTGAGTCGCGGAGGCACTGACTGCAGAACAGGTGACCACATTTTGTGGAGACCACTAGTCTCCCACTTTCAATGATCTAGAGGAAGAGGAGAAAGGGCTCTTAGTTGTGCGGACAAATTCACATTCTGGTTGCTACACAGCAATTACAGAACCTTTACACACAATGAAGTATGCTTCTCTTACCTCAGCATAGGCATCCATACACACTGGGCAGCTGACTGTACCTGGGGTAGACCTGTAGAAGAGAAGAGACCCAACTCAAGATCATGATTTCAGTGGTCACATGCCAATATTATGAGTGGATAAATGGATGGATGAGATTGATGCTTTAATGTGCCCTATTCTTTATTTTACAGTTTTATATGTCATCTGATGAGATTAGCATGGTCAGAGAGGTTGTTAGTTAGTACCTGGCACTACTGCTGGCCTGTAGAGAGGATAGGAGGTCAGCACTGAGGCCTCCATTGGTATCCCCCTCCTCATCACTGCTCAGCACGTAACTCTCACCGCCAGCTCCACGTCTGCCCCGAAGCCCTGATATATGCCATTTAGCAGATAGACAAACTCACAGTTAGAAAAATGCATGTTTGATGTAGTGATGAATACTTTCCTGAGGGTCAAAACATATAGTTAATCTAAATATAATTGCTGTGATTGAGGAAAACAATGAATTACCTTCATCGAAAACCTGGTCTCCCATTCGCAATCATGCAGTGGTGGAAAAGAGGAAAATTGAAACATAAAATGTCAACATTTCAGTTTTTAAACAGTGACAAAAGCTTATTCTTATCAATACATTTAAAACAGCTAATGTATACATCATTATTTGCATAAAGAGAGCTCCCAAACTCACCACCACAGAATCATTGTTGGTCAAGTCAACCACAGTTGGATCAGAACCTTCACATGTCAAGTCCACCACCTCCTCACCTGCACAGACAAAAGAAGGGTTAGAAACCTATCCATAATCAACCAGAGAGAAAGGCATAAAGCCATTGGTACTCACTGCTAGTCCTGCTGCTCTCCAGCACAGCAATGGTCTCAGCAGCGGCTGCTGCACGAGGTGGCACAGTGGTGGTGACTCTGCTACTCTTGGCTGTGCGTCTGGAACTTGAGGGGGCTCCAGTCCTTCTCTTCCTCTGTGTCTGTGACAAAGCACTGATTCTTAGTAACCAGAGCCCTTAGCATAAATGAAAATAAAACTGAAGGTTTTGGCAGGTTATCACATGGCTGTGGTAGGAATGTAGGCCTACAACGAACACTACACATTGGCTGCTACCGTAGGCTGAATGATAGAACAGCTATTTCCATGTTAAAATGTTATGGGATGAATTTTCTCCATTGTTTTTTTATGGTAGGCCACTCTGGTAGGGCCACATTGTGATCAAATAGCCACAGTAGCCTACTTGGCCACTGTTAAAACTAACTTAAAGCAGGTACAGCGTCAGTGTTCACAGTAAACACACGCTGGAAGTTGCACAGAATTTTCACAATGTTCAAGTATGTGCTCAGCAGAATTGACATTTGCCAAGTGCATAAAAAAATGAGAGGGGTGTAAAGGTGAGGACTTACTGTACTGCTCATTTCGTGACAGGGAAGGTGTGGGTGAAATCGGCCAAATGTCACTTAGCTATAGTACACGCTTACAAATCCACTTCTGTTCCAACTCAAGCTCTTGAGACCAATTTAACAATAATCTGGGGAAATAAAATAAACCAATGACGTTACAAAACAAGCAGACACATCTGATAACCACAACACACACCGGTCTGAACACAACACATGCCATTCTGAACACAACACACCAGGCATGAGCCTTTACAATATTTAGTAAATTTTTGTTGACAATCTGAAACCTATTAGCTAGATAATAAAACCAAACAAAGCCACAACCCATCTCAGTCTCTGTGCTTCTCTGCTTAGAGAAATAAAACGTGAGTTTTGATAGCTAGCTACGTTTAGCCATAAACATTTAATAACTAACCCATTGTGGTGTGGTTAAGCTGCTGTGATAACAAAAACTGTTGGTTAGCTAGCTAGTTAGCTAATGAACTTAACTTGCCTATTTGCTTGGTCTGAGCAGGGCAGCTCATCAAGCGCAGGCTTATCTCGAGAACATGGTCCTTAACACGGGTTATTAAGCATGACGTATCTAAACAACTTGCTAAAGTATCTGGTTATCACAAACGCAGTGGATAATGAAAACATGCGCTAACTAGAATTAAAACTAGCTAGCGAACAAAGAATAGACAACTGTCTAGCAAAGCCAGCTAACTTAGCTAGCTAGTAATGCTAACACGCTCTATGCAAACTCTAGCACCTTGTAAGAAAGGCTTACAACCTGAGTCAGCTTTACCTTTACCTAACATTTACAAAAACATTCAACGTTTGGGTGAGTGACTGGTGATAGCTAGATGTATGCAATTATAAATAACCCAGTTTTAAAACGGTACACACCTTTTCAATCACTTTTTGAAAGACAACATCCCGTCTCCCTGCAGCCTGCTAACCAAATACAACGGAAACGCTTCTTCTACTTCTTTGGGGTTGGGTTGGCGGATCGCATCCAACTTTTAAAGTGCACACACCGCCATCTACTGTACTGGAGTGTGAGGCCAGTCACAAGAAGAAGAAGAAGAAGAAGAAGAAGAAGAGCTGGGTACGTTGGACGGGGACACGTTTTAATACAATAAAAAGCCTCTCATTTTACAATGGGTCCGCCATGGTTCTGTGAAGCCAAGTTGAGACCAGTGTATTGCATTTAATTTCGTCTTTGACTTAAGTAAAATATATTTCAGTAGTAAACAGCGAAACAAGAACGAGTCCCAGACAGTTCACAATATAAAATACCAGAGGGGCATCGTTTACTTGGCTACCTAAATTATTGAGATCATCTGGTTATCACAAGTTTTTGGAATACATTGAGTTCATTGACAAAACAGACCATGGGACGCCTTTTCACACGAATATTTATTTGTCAAAGGTCCGCGGTGGGTCTGTGTAAACTATGCGGTTATATTGGAGACAGGTTTATAGCAGTGAATGTCATCTGTTAATTTACTGTTATAGTATTTCTAAGTAGAAGCCATATCAGCCAGGGAAAATAATTGTTCTCACTTTATGATAGCACATTCAGATTTTTCTGCCTGACTTTACCTGAATTGTTAGGATTTTCATGTGATCACAACAAAACTACTAATTTTGCTCAAATAGAGGGCAAACTACCCGCCCTCCAGGACACCAACAGCACCCGGTCGAGGCCAAAAAGATAATCAAGGACATCAACCACCCGGGCCACTGCCTGTTCACCCCGCTATTATCCAGAAGGCGAGGTCAGTACAGGTGCATCAAAGTTGGGACCGAGAGAATGAAAAACAGCTTCTATTTCAAGGCCATCAGACCGTTAAATAGCCATCACTAGCACATTAGAGGCTGCTGCTGCCTATTGAAATCACTGGTCACTTTAAGAAATGGAACACTAGTCATTTGAATAATGTTTAGATATCTTCCATTACTCATCTCATATGTATATACTGTATTCTATACTATTCTACTGTATCTTAGTCCATTCCACTCTGTCATTGCTTGTCCATATATGTAAATATTCTTAAATTCAATTTCTTACTTAGATTTGTGTGAATTGGGTATATGTTGTGAAATTGTTATATATTACTTGTTAGATATTACTGCACTGTCAGAGCTAGAAGCACAAGCATTTCGCTACACCCGCAATAACATCTGCTAAACACGTGTATGTGACAAATAAAATTTGATTTGATTTGATGAGATATATCATTAAATTGTATTTTTTAAAAGATGGGCCTGGTTGAGAATATAACATTCTGTTTTCTGCCTGAAATTGGCGCTGTTTACCATACTTTTCTGGATTGTCTAGTGAACAGAACAAAACTACTTATTTTACTCAACTAGAGATTGAATTAAATGTTGTTTCTTTTAAAAGGTGGGCCTGGCTGACATGAAAAATACATGAATGGGAAAGGATCCAGAGGTTGATTATCATTCTCCACATATTTGTATTGACAATGCTGGCTGCCATGGTTAACACAAATGCAGGACTTTGAAAGCTACCTGAATTGACTCAACGAGGTCAAACAGGTGTGTGTGTGTTAGTCAGATTATCCAGTATCCATAGCAAGACTATTGATTATTCTCTATCCCCAGTGTATTTGTATTTATTATGGATCCTGGGGTCCAACAAAATTAAGGCAGTTATACAATTTAAAAAACATTACAATACATTCACAACAGATTTCACAACACATTAAGTGTGTGCCCTCAGGCCCCTACTCTACTACTGTACCACATGTCTACAATACAAAATGTACACTACCATTCAAAAGTTTGGAGAAATGTCCTTGTTTTCGAAAGAAAAGCATTTTTTTGTCCATTAAAATAACATCAAATTGATCAGAAATACAGTGTAGACATTGTTAATGTTGTAAATGGCTATTGTAGCTGGAAACGGCTGATTTTTAATGGAATATCTACATAGGCGTACAGAGGCCCATTATCAGCAACCATCAGTCCTGTGTTCCAATGGCACGTTGTGTTTGCTAATCCAAGTTTATCATTTTAAAAGGCTAATTAAAACAAGGACATTTCGAAGTGACCCCAAACTTTTGAACAGTAGTGTATGTGTGTATATAGTGCGTATATTATCGCGTGTTTGTATGCATGTGTCTGTGCCTATGTTTGTGTTGCTTCACAGTCCCTGCTGTTCCATAAGGTGTATTTTTATCTGTTTTTTAAATCAAATTTTACTGCTTGCATGAGTTACTTGATGTGGAATAGAGTTCCATGTACTCATGGCTCTATGCAGTACTGTGCGCCTCCCATAGTCTGTTCTGGACTTGGGGACTGTGAAGAGACCTCTAGTGGCATGTCTTGTGGGGTATGCATGGGTGTCCGAGCTGTGTGCCAGTAGTTCAAACAGACAGCTCGGTGCATTCAACATGTCAATACCTCTCACAAATACAAGTAGTGATGAAGTCAATCTCTCCTCCACTTTGAGGCAGGAGAGATTGACGTGCATATTATTAATGTTAGCTCTCTGTGTACATCCAAGGGCCAGCCTTGCTGCCCTGTTCTGAGCCAATTTCAATTTTCCTAAGTCCCTCTTTGTGGCGCATGACCACACGACTGAACAGTAGTCCAGGTGCGACAAAACTAGGGCCTGTAGGACCTGCCTTGTTTATAGTGCTGTTAAAAAGGCAGAGGTGCACTTTATTATGGACAGACTTCTCCCCATCTTAGCTACTGTTGTATCAATATGTTTTGACCATGACAGTTTACAATCCAGGGTTACTCCAAGCAGTTTAGTCACCTCAACTTGCTCGATTTCCACATTATTTATTACAAGATTTAGTTGAGGTTTAGGGTTTAGTGAATGATTTGTCCCAAATACAATGCTTTTAGTTTTAGAAATATTTAGGACTAACTTATTCCTTGCCACCCATTCTGAAACTAACTGCAGCTCTTTGTTAAGTGTTACAGTCATTTCAGTTGCTGTAGTAGCTGACATGTATAGTGTTGAGTCATCCGCATACATAGACACACTGGCTTTACTCAAAGCCAGTGGCATGTCGTTAGTAAAGATTGAAAAAAGTAAGGGGCCTAGACAGCTGCCCTGGGGAATTCCTGATTCTACCTGGATTATGTTGGAGAGGCTTCCATTAAAGAACACCCTCTGTGTTCTGTTAGACAGGTAACTCTCTATCCACAATATAGCATGGGGTGTAAAGCCAGAACACATCAGTTTTTCCAGCAGCAGACTATGATCGATAATGTCAAAAGCCGCACTGAAGTCTAAATAAACAGTCCCCACAATCTTTTTATCATCAATTTCTCTCAGCCAATCATCAGTCATTTGTGTAAGTCCTGTGCTTGTTTAATGTCCTTCCCTATAAGCGTGCTGAAAGTCTGTTGTCAATTTGTTTACTGTAAAATAGCATTGTATCTGGTCAAACACAATTTTTTCCAAGACTTTACTAAGGGTTGGTAACAGGCTGATTGGTCGGCTATTTGAGCCAATAAAGGGGGCTTTACTGTTCTTAGGTAGCGTAATGATTTTTGCTTCCCTCCAGGCCTGAGGGCACACACTTTCTAGTAGGCTTATATTGAAGATATGGCAAATAGGAGTGGCAATATCATATGCTATTATCCTCAGTAATTTTCCATTCAAGTTGTCAGCCCCAGTGGCTTGTCATTGTTGATAGACAACAATAAATGTTTCACCTCTTCCACACTCACTTTACGGAAATCAAAATTACAATGATTGTCTTTCATAATTTGGTCAGATATACTTGGACGTGTAGTGTCAGCGTTCGTTGCTGGTATGTCATGCCTAAATTTGCTAATCTTGGCAATAAAAAAAATCATTAAAATAGTTGGCAATATCAGTGGGTTTTGTGATGAATGAGTCAATGAATGATCGAGCTGAGTTTGCCTTTTTGCCCAAAATTTCATTTAAGGTGCTCCAAAGCTTTTTACTATCATTCTTTGTCATTTATCTTTGTTTCATAGTGTAATTTCTTTTTCATTTTATTCAGTTTAGTCATATGATTTCTCCATTTGCAGTACATTTGCCAATCGGTTGTGCAGCCAGACTTACTTGCCATTCCTTTTGCCCCATCCCTCTCAACCATACCATTTTTCAATTCCTCATCAATCCACGGGGATTTAACAGTTTTTAGTCCTTTTTTTCCAATTTTTGCCTAAAATGACATCCCAAATCTAACTGAGTGTAGCTCAGGACCTGAAGCAAGGATATGCATATTCTTGATGCCATTTGAAAGGAAACACAAGTTTGTGAAAATGTGAAATTAATGTAGGAGAATATAACACATTAGATCTGGTAAAAGATAATACAAACAAAAAAACATGCATTTTCTATTTTGTTCCATCATCTTTGAAATGCAAGAGAAAGGCCACAATATAATATTGCAGTTTAGGCGCAATGTAGATTTTGGTCACTAGATGGCAGCAGTGTGTGTGCAAAGTTTTAGATTGATCCAGTGAAGTGTTGCAATACTGGACTATTTTGTATCAAGTCTGCCCAAATGTGCCGAATTGGTCAATTGATACATTTTCAAGTACATAACTATAGAAACATAAAAAATGATATGGTAATACAAAATGTAAGTTTACACACACCCAGGAATGTCATACATGATGGATCATTAGCTTATACACTAAATTTCACACATCTAGATGGCAGGGTGGGTGTGGAGCCAGAGACAGCAGGGGTTCAAACTGTAGAACCCAGTTCCTATATTTTAATATAAAAATTGATTTTATCAAACAAAACTATGCTAAATTATATCTCTGGAACTCTTAGGATGACAAATCAGAGCAAGATTACGGAATGTAAGTACATTATTTACCTTCAGAGGTGAATGTATCAAACCAGTTGCCTTGATAAGTTTTCTGTTGTTGTGCACTCTCCTCAAACAATAGCATGGCATTTGTTTTACTGTAATAGCTACTGTAAATTGGACAGTGCAGTTAGATTAACAAGAATTTAAGCTTTCTGCGCATATAAGACATGTCTATGTCCTGGAAAGTTTGCTGTTGCTTACAACAGTCATGCTAATCACATTAGCGCACGTTAGCTCAACCGTCCCGTATACGGGACACCAATCCCATAGAGGTTAATGGGTGCATGCTTATTAGTAACTGGGATAAGCAATTTCATAAATGTGTCAAGTGCAGTGTCTGGTTGCTCCTCATTACACACCACGAACCAACAAATATATTTACATCAACAACATAAGAATCACTACAAAACATATTGTATGACCTCTTATACACTATATTAGGCCCAGCCTTTGGAACTTTGGTTTTCCTAGATATGGCTGCTATATTGTGATCTCTACATCAGATGTATTTGGATACAGCTTTAAAGCAAATTTGCAGTATTAGTAAAGATGTGATCAATACATGTTGATGATTTCATTCCTGTGCTGTTTGTAACTACCTTGGTAGGTTGATTGACAACCTGAACCAGATTGCAGGCACTAGGTACAGTTTGAAGCGCTCTCGAGTGGGCAGCCTGATGAAAGCCAGTCAATATTTAAATCACCCAGAAAATATACCTCTCTGTTGATATCACATAAATGGTCGTAGCCATGCTCTCACTAACCCTCATATTTTCTCTTTCTCTCTCCCCTTTCGAAGGGCCTGAGGCACTTGGACCATGACACCTTGGCCTGACACCTGGATGTGCCTGGTCCCCTCTCCTGCCTCCACTGGTTCTTTCTCCCCCTCAAGTCACTGAAACTTTGATTCCATTACTTACCATGACGTCTGACCATAGGGTCTTGAATGTATGCTTTTATACGGTCTGTATCTCTGTATTACAGCAAGTCGAATAAAGATTTGTGCAAACTGGAAGTGTGACTTTACATTTACGTCATTTAGCAGACACTCTTATCCAGAGCGACTTACAGTTAGGGAGCGCATAAATTTTTCATACTGGCTCCCCGTGGGAATCGAACCAACAACCCTGGCGTTGCAAATGCCATGCTCTACCAACTGAGCTACTCAGGGCCTGACTTCTTTCCCCAATGACTTCCTAAGGCTGAGGTAGTTTGTCAGTTATTCCATACCAACGCTAGATGAGGCTTAATGGCAACAACACCACACACAACTGCAATACAACTAATTAATATCATTGGTATATGACTGTTCAGTCTTAAATATTCCATCAATGAAAAGAGGAAGGAAAAGTAATTTTATAAAAGTCATTGACAGGAAAAGTAATTTACTACATCAATTATAGTCAGTCCCTCCCCTTTGTTTGCTTAACTGGGGGAATGGGATGGAGAAATGGTTTACAATAGGCAGGGTGGGGCTTAGGCGGAATGCGTCCCAAAGAAAAAAAATTGCACAATACAGTGCATTGGGAAGTATTCAGACCCCTTGACTTTTCCACATTTTGTTACGTTACAGCTTTATTCTAAAAGTGATTAAATAGTGTTTTCCCCCTCATCAATCTACACACAATACCCCATAATGACAAAGCAAAAACAGGTTTAGAAATGTTTACCAAAAATAAAAATATTAAATATCACATTTACATAAGCATTCAGAAAGATAAATACATAAATATTCAGACCCTTTACTCAGTACTTTGTTGAAGCACCTTTGGCAGCGATTACAGCCTCAAGTCTTCTTGGGTATGACGCTACAAGCTTGGCACACCTGTATTTGGGGAGTTTCTCCCATTCTTCTCTGCAGATCCTGTCAAGCTCTGTCAGGTTGGATGGGGAGCGTCGCTGCACCTGAGCTCAATTTCGAGTCTCATAGCAAAGGGTCTGAATACTTGTAAGTAAGGTATTTCTGTTTTTTATAATTTTGCAAACATTTCTAAAAACCTGTTTTCGCCTTGTCATTATGGGATATTGTGTGTAGATTGATGAGGAAATGTATTTAATCAATTTTAGAATAAGGCTGTAATGTAACAAAATGTGAAAAAAGGGAAGGGGTCTGAATACTTTCCGAATGCACTGTATATACGGAATAGGCTGCCATTTGGGTCACATTCCATCTGTTGATGAAGCCACCTGAAATCTACCAATTGTCCATCCCTCTCCTCATGGATATCCAAGCATTGGATAGGTGTAAGCATTAGCTTGAGCTACTTTGCAGCATTGTTAAATCCCTGAGACAAGAAGAAATGTGCAAGTCCACACTTTGGAAGAAGGACAATGGATATGCAGCCAATGTTGATGGTCACACACCTTGGAGGCATTAGTAAAGAAGGCTATTCTATAAGGGCAAATAATTGACACTAGTTGTTGCAGTAGTAGGTAAGACAATGGATCCAGAGCTGTATTTGTTAATTATGGACTTTAAAGTAACAGGCAGGTAGGTAGCAGGTAGAGGGGTGCCAGGTGGGATTGGGCCAGGCATGTCCAGGTGTCAGGCCAGGGTGTCCTCAGTCACGGTCCAAGAGCCTCAGGCCCTCTGGAAGGGGAGACGGAGAAAGATTAAAGATGACGGTTAGTAAGAATATGACTAACACTATAGTACACCACATACACTGGGGGTAGAGAATAATCAATAGTGTTGCTATGGACACTGGATAATCTGACTAACACACACACACACACACACACCTGTTTGACCTCGTTGAGTCAATTCAGGTAGCTTTCAAAGTCCATGGCAGCCAGCATTGTCAATAAAGACAATCGATAATCAGCCTCTGGATCCTTTCCCCTTAATGTATTTTTCATGTCAGCCAGAACCACCTTTTAATTCAATCTGTAGTTGAGTAAAATGTGTAGTTTTGTTCTGGTCACAAAATAATCCAGAAAACTACAGTAAACAGCGCCACATTCAGGCAGAAAACAGAATGTTATATTCTCAGCCAGGCCCATCTTTTCAAAGAAAACACAATTGAATTATATCTCTATTTGAGCAAAATAAGTAGTTTTCACATGAAAATCCTAACAATTCAGGTAAAGCGCGCCATAGTCAGGCAGAAAATCTGAATATGCTATCATAAAGTGAGAACAATTATTTTCCCTGGCTGATATGGCTGCTACTTAGAAATACTATAACAGTAAATTAACAGATGACAGTCACTGCTATAAACCTGTCTCGCATCATTTACACAGACCCACCGCAGACCTTCGTGTGAAAAGGCGTTCCATGGTCTGTTTTGTCAACAAACTCAATGTATTCCAAGACTTGTGGTAAACTAAGATATGTTATATTGCCAACTGTCTGGGACTCATTGCTGTTTCCCTGTTTACTACTCAAAGATATTTTACTTATTAAGTCAAATACGAAATTAACTGCAACACACTGGTCTCAAATATATTAGCATAACTAGACGGACCATTGTAAAATGAGAGGCTTTTTATTGTATTAAAACGTCTCCCAGTCCAACCTGCCCAGCTCTTCTTTTTCTTCGTCTTCTTCTTCTTCGTCTATGATTGCATGGCGGTCTGCAAACAATTGTTTAAGTGCATGCCGCCACCTACTTTGCTGGAATGTTGCTGGAATGTACGATCAATCATGATCTGCCCAAATCTTTACTACCATGAAATAAAATAAAAACCAAATAAATCCCTATTAACTTCTACTATACCCTCCCCCTCCCCCTCCCCCAAAACCCCTCCCCAACCCCCTCCCCCCAAAACCCTCCCCAACCCCCCTATCCCATTAAACTGTATCTATATCATGCTGAAACACTCCACCCTTAGGATTGTTCAGCATGTCAACAACCATTTCAACATTAACATCTGTTACCCCCAATATCTCTTTTGCCGTCTCCACAATAACCTTCAACCTGGCATTTCTGCTTTCCACAACCCGAGTTGTATTGATAACCTTACCAATAAAAGCTATGAAGTCAACTTTATTCATTATCAAAGTGTCCTTTGACATCGCACATTCATGAGCACAAGATTTCTGAACAGGCCTTGAAACCATGCCAGGACCATCAGAAGCACCAGCCCCGACAGTAGGTCCACTTACTACAGGTACATCCATGTAAGCTCCATCAGTCCACACTGTAGTTCTACCAATCTGTTTGAAGGCCTCTGCATAAGATACATCATGACTGATCTCTGAGCCTCTCTAGCCTCTCTCTGTACCTGGCATCCACCAAATGCTGCACTGTGTTTCCCCCCACTATTACAGCACTTAACCTTCACATTGCTCCCACATTCACCCAGTGGAGGCTCCTCAGAGGAGAAAGGGGAGGACCATCCTCCCCGTGAATTTCATACAAATTTAAATTTTAAGACATTGAAAAAGTTATCCTTTTTAGATAAAACTATACAAAATATAATCACGTCACCAAATAATTTATGAAAACACACTATTTTGCAAAGAGGATCTACAGTAGCCTCAACAGTACTCTGTAGGGTAGCACCATGGTGTACATTTTACATTTTAGTCATTTAGCAGACGCTCTTATCCAGAGCGACTTACAGTTAGTGAGTGCATACATTTTCATACTGGCCCCCCGTGGGAAACGAACCCACAACCCTGGCGTTGCAAGCGCCATGCTCTACCAACTGAGCTACAGGGGACTAGTGTAGCCGGAGGACAGCTAGCTTCCGTCCTCCTCTAGGTACATTGACTTCAATACAAAACCTAGGAGGCACATGAGTCTCACCCCCTTCCATAGACTTACACAGTAATTATGACAACTTCCGGAGGACGTCCTCCAGCCTATCAGAGCTCTTGCAGCATGAACTGACATGTTGTCCACCCAATCAAAGAATCAGATAATTAATCTAGTACTGAAAGCATAAGCTACAGCTAGCTAGCACTGCAGTGCATAAAATGTGGTGAGTAGTTGACTCAAAGAGAGAGAAAGACAATAGTTGAACAGTTTTGAACAAATTCATTTCTTCCAAAATGAAGGAGAAGCAAGGGAGAAATAGAGAGCGAGAGAGAGAGAGGGATTGTCATTTTTTTCTAGTTTCACTTACTTAGCTAGCAAATGCAGCTACCTAGTTTAGCCTACTGAAACACCCTGCTCAGAGGGATGCTATGTTAGCTAGCTGGCTATGACTTTCCAACACAACACTGGAACTCTTCCAAGTCAAGGTAAGCTTTTGGTATTACTCATTTATTGCTACTCGGGCCAGCCGGTGTAACTGCCTACTGACTGTACACTAACGTTACTGCATGATTGTAGCGGGTTTACTAACGCATTAGTTATATTAGCTATGCTGACTATGACGTTACTTTAGTTAATATGGTGACAACGATGTAGGCTGTGTGCAGCGGTTTGGCTTGGAAAGGGTTTTTAGCCTGGTCACATACCGATGATGTGTTGTGCATTGAAGTCCACAAGCGAAGGGAAGAGGTGAGAGGAGGAGAGCGCGTAGATAGATGCGAGAAGGAATACAACGTGGCTGCTATGAAAGTGAACTTTGTTTACGCATGATCAGGGGTGTATTCATTCCGATTCTGTTGAAAAACGTTCCTTAAACGGAATGAAGCGGGGATAAACATACCTGAATTTGTCCAATAGAAACTCTTGTTTGCTACTGTTGGACTAATGATTACACCCTATATCAGCTAGATGCAGGAATGTGTCACTGTCTGTCACCTCAAATTTGTCTCTCGACCTGTGTGCACCTACGTTGTAAACGTTCATTCATAGGCTAGGTTGTAGCAATCTCATGATGGGTATAGGGAAAATTAGAGTATCATGTAGTAGCCTAAACCTATCGCTGTTACATTGACCTGGGTGAATGGAATATGAATGTGAGTAATCCAATATGCTGTAATAGAAATAAGACCATGCTCATTTAAAAAAATCGTCCTCCCTCA